CAACCATGAAAGGCCTCAGGAGACAGAGGATCCTGTCAGGCAGAGAGTAGGAGGGGAAGAGGTGGGGGCCACCGCAGAGACACGGGAACTCAAACACTGACAGGGCAGGAAGAGCCAAAGGATTCAGAGAAGGAGCAGCTAAGGAGATAAGAGGAAGCCGGAGAGTTCTCGGCCTTTGAGAAACAGGGGCGGTCCACAGTGAAGAAGGCCACTGTCAGCTCAAAGAGGGTAACGGCTTTGGATTTACCAATAAAAAGGTGGCTGGTCGCCTGGAGAAGAGTGACTTCAGGTGGGAATTCCCTGGCAGTACCATGGTTAGGACTCGGTGCTTTCATGGCCAGGGCCCAGGTTCGATCCCCAGTTGGGGGAAGTAAGATCCGGCAAGAAGCACAGTGTGGAAAAAAAAAAAAAAGAAAAAGAGTGACTTTAGTCAAGTGGTAGAGTGGAAGCCAAATTGAAAAGAGCTGAGGAGAAAATGGAGGTAATCTACTCCCCAATTTGCTGTCCCCTTCCCCCTCATCAGAGCCTTTTCAGACTCTTATTAGTTTGAAACTCTGTGAATCCACCTGAGTATACTGTTACAGTTCAGATCTGACTTGGTAGATCTGGAGTGGGCTCTGTATTTCTAACAAGCTCCCTGGTGATGTGGATACCACTGAACCAAACTTGAAGTAGCAAGGAGTTAGACTGGGCTGCCGAGTCAGTGTCAAGGCCCAGTCTTGATGAGCGCCTTACCAAAGACACTCTGGGGTACAGAGATAAAAATGAATTATTAGGGTCTTACATCATTATCCACATCAGAAAAATACTAAAAAGGAAAACAAGAGGAAATTTCTGCATTCTATGTCTGGTTCTTTCCTGTATAGGTGCCATCCTCATGAAAGTCCCTTCATCTGAGTCACTTAAAACTTATTAGGATTTTTTAGTTATTATTTCTATTTTAATTGCATTAGTCTCCAGAACATGCTAAAATCGCCATCCTTCAAAATTTGTTACTATTTGCTTCATGGTTCAAAGCATGATGAATTTTTGTAAATGCTCCATGAGTGCTTGGAAAGAAATTATTCCGTAATTGAGTTCAAGGCTTTATGCCTATTAGGTCAAACTTAATAACTGGGTTTGACAGGTCTTCATAATCTATTAATTACTAAAATGAAATCTGTTAAAACCACCATTCTCTCTCTACCTGGAAAGTCTTTCCTCCTCATCTCTCCAACTCACCCAGTCTTCCATCCAACAACTGGGGATTCATGGTGACCAAAATCTGACCAGGTCTCTGCAGAACCAGTCCTTCCCCTCCTGGAGCTGACAGTCTAAAAAGGTTTATCTGGTCAACAACACCTCCTCCCCTCACCTCAGTTGTTGTCATTCAGTCACCCAGTCCTGTTCGACTCTTGGCGACCCCATGGACTGCATGCCAGGCTTCCCTGTCTTCACTGTCTCCCAGACTTTGCTCAAATTCATGTCCATTGAGTCAATGATGCCATCCAACCATTTCATCCTCTCTTGTCCCCTTCTCCTCCTGCCTTCAGTCTTTCCCAGTATCAAGGTCTTTTCCAATGAGTTGGTTCTTCACATCAGGTGGCCAAAGTATTGGAGCTTCAGCATCAATCCTTCCAATGAATATTCAGGGTTCATTTCCTTTAAAATTGACTGGTTTGATCTTTTTGCTATCCAAAGGACGCTCAAGAGTCTTCTCCAGCACCACAGTTTCAAAGCACAGTTTCAATTCTTCAATACTCAGCCTTCTTCAGGGTCCAACTCTCACATCTGTACAAGGCTACAGGGAAAACCATAGCTTTGGCTATACTGACTTTTGTTGGCAAAGTGATGTCTCTGCTTTTTAATACACTGTCTAGGTTTGTCATCTCTTTTCTTCCAAGGAGCAAGAATCTTTCAATTTCATGGCTGCAGTCACTATCTGCAGTGATTTTGGAGCCCAATAAAATAAACTCTGTCATTGTTTCCTTTTTTTCCCCATCTATTTGCCATGAAGTGATGGGACTGGATGCCATGATCTTAGTTTTTGAATGGTAAGTTTTAAGTCAGCTTTTTCATTCTCCTCTTTCACCTTCATCAAGAGGCTCTTCACTTTCTGCCATTAGGGTGGTGTCATCTGCGTATCTGGGATTATTGATATTTCTCCTGGCAATCTTGATTTGCTTCATCCAGCCTGGCATTTCCCACGATGCATTCTGCATACAAGTTAAATAAGCAGGTTAACAATATGCAGTTCTGATGTTCTCCTTTCCCAGTTTTGAACCAATCCGTTTTTCCATGTCCAGTTCCAATAGCTGCTTCTTGACCTGCATACAGGTTTCTCAGGAGGAGGTCAGGTTGTCTGGCATTCCCATCTCTTGAAGAATTTTCCACAGTTTGTTGTGATCCACACAGTCAAAGGCTTTGGTAGTGTAGTCAATAAAGCAGAAATAGATTTTTTTTTTGAACTCTTGCTTTTTCAATGATCCAACGGATGTTGGCAATTTGATCTCTGGTTCCTCTGCCTTTTCTAAATCCAGCTTGAACATCTGGAAGTTCATGGTTCATGCACTGTTGAAGCATGGCTTGGAGGATTTTGAGTATTATTTTGCTAATGTGTGAGATGAGTGCAATTGTGTAGCAGTTTGAACATCCTTTGGCATTGCCCTTCTTTGGGATTAGAAGGAAAACTGATCTTTTTCAGTCCTGTGGCCACAGCTGAGTTTTCCAAATTTGCTGGCATATTGAGTGCAGCCCTTTAACAGCATCGTCTTTTAAGATTTGAAATAGCTCAGCTGGAATTCCATCACCTCCACTAGCTTTGTTCGTAGTGATGCTTCCTAAGGCCCATTTGGCTTCGCACTCCAGGATGTCTGGCCCTAGGTGTGATAGTGGTTATCTGGTTCATGAAGATCTTTTTTATATTGTTCTTCTAGGTATCCTCTTCTTAATATCTTCTGTTTCTGTTAGGCCCATACTGTTTCTGCATGAAATGTTTTGTTGGTATCTCTAAATTTCTTGAAGAGATCTCTTGTTTTCCATTCTTTCCTCCCTCCTCTGAGCTCTTACATCACTCACTGCCTGTGTAGCTAATGTAACACTCAGTCTGTCTTCATTGCAATGATTTGTGTTCATAATTTACTCCAGCTTTTAAATTCCAGGTAAGCCAAGATTATCCTGTTTTCTATATAACTGCTTTATTGAACTATAATTATTGACAAACCATAAAATTCACTCTTGTAAAGTATAAAATCCATCAAAGAAGAACATCTTATTTATCTTGGCATCCTCTGTAGCAGTGGTCCTCCATCTTGGTTGCATGTTGGAATTACCTGTAGATTTTTTTTTTTTTTTTAAGAAACCCATGCTACCTGGTTCTCACCCCCAAGAGGTTCTGACTTAATTAGTTTGGCGTGTGGCCCAGGCATCAGAATTTGTAAAACCCCAGAGTGATTTTAACTTGTAGTCTGGGTTGCCTTATAGTGCTTTGCACATAACTGCCACTCAATAATTGTAATCATGAATTAGTCCTAGGTTCCAGCTAATTAACTCACCCAAGAACTACCTACCTTCCCTGTTTCCCTCTAGTCCCACAGCTCTTATAATGATCTGTTTATGTCTATCTCCTCCACTTGATGTGAAAGGAAGACTGAGACAAAAGCATTTAGAAAAGATAAGTTTACTTGCAAAGACATGCAGACTTCAAATACACCAGATACTAAAAGGAAAAATGTAAAGCTTACCATGTTTACATTTATCTCTAAGGCATAGATAATATGCTTACATGGGGAGATATGTAACAAATGACATATTTCCAAATTTCTATATTTAAAAGTCAGGAATAAAATGGTTCTCATTATAGATTCAGTAATTGATAGGGGAAAACTCAAGATTTCATTCATTTCAGACACAAGACATAAGAGTACTTTGGTAACTGTCTTAGGCTTGAAAGTGTCTTGCTCTTCTTCCTATTTTTTCCTCCTGTGGGACTTAATGTACACTTTTTTTTTTTTAAGTCCTCTAGGTATGTTTTTATTTCCAAAGCAGTAATGTAACCATCCTATTTTAATTTTCAGTTGTCTCCATTGATGACATTAGACTATAAAGAATTTTTACTTAATCTTTCTTTCCACACTGCAGTAAAAATAATCCTAACATACAATGAAGACAGCTTTATTATAAAACCTATTTCCAAACTGTTTTTGACAATTTAAACATTCTAAGGTTTTTAAATTAAGGATTTATTGTAAAGGTACACTTAAAATTGCAGCAGTTTTGCTTCCACAACTGTGATCTTCATGAAGACAGGGTCCGTTCCAGTCTTACACATTATGTCATTTCCGTGCTGGCACACATTGGATGTTCAGTAAATATTAGTGAAATAGATACGATCACACCTCATGCCACAGTATTTAAATAAGATTTTAACTAGATAGGGAGCTGCATCACTTGCCCATTTTGATACTTTTTGCAATTCTTAATTATGGTACTCTGAACTGGGGCACTCCTTAAATTTCTTACTCTACAACAAATTTAGAAGGCGCTTTTATTTCCATGTAAACGGTTGCTGAGGGTCGGGTGTCTGAAAGGATGACCCTCAAGTGAGGAGCAAGATGGTCAGTCCCGAATGAATGGACACTAGATTCTCGTGACTGGGAGAGATCCCTCAGAGAGGCCGGTGGTCGGTCATTTTGCCAGGCCTGTATCGTCATTTAACACCTGCCATTGACAACTCCCCACAGCCAGATCCCAAGGGTCTGCGTGGGCATGCGGAGCCGCGCCCCCTAATTCGCTACTGTAGCATCCCCCAGCAGGAGGGTCACGCCCCAGGGCGCAACGCAGAGCGACTCAGTCATCTAGAAGACAGAGTAAAACCAGTCGCACCAAGGAGAGGCAGCGTTATTTCGGCAGCTGACTACTCCTCCAGAGCCTCCACCCTATCCCCTGGGCCCGGCGCCCGGCGCTCAGCCTGTGCCGGGCTCCAGGAGCCCCAGCTCCCTCCACGTGTCCTGTCTTCCCAGCAGCCACCTCTGCCGCCTCGGGAGGAAAATCTCCTGACAACTCGCGGTCTACGGACTACGACTCCCAGCAAGCACCGCGCCGCTTCTCTCTCCGCCCCCTCCACGGGGCACGCAGGCGCCCTGGGCTCCGTCAACAAGCCGGGCTGGCGAAGACTGGATACAGTTCCTTATGGGATTTGTAGTTTTTTTGGAGTTAGTTGGGCCGTAAGTCAAAGGGACAAAGACTACAAGTCTCGGCGGCCCCAGCGTGACGAGCCCGGTCACGTGGCAGGGGGCCGACCGGGCGTGCGTGCCGCCGTTGATCCGGTGCTGCAGTGAGGAGGTGGTTCTCGCCCGTGTTGTGTGTGTGTGTGTGAGTGAGAGAGCGAGTGAGTGAGTGAGTGAGTGAGTGTGTGTGGGGGGGGACTCGGCTTGTTGTTGTCGGTGACTTCCCCCTCCCCTCCACCCCTCCCCCTTCCCCGCCGCCGCTGCAGTGGCCGCTCCCTGGGCCGTAGGAAATGAGCGATAACGATGACATCGAGGTGGAGAGCGACGTGAGTCCTGGGGCTTCTTCCTTCCCTTGCGGGTTGTCAGACGGGAACAGCGGCCGGGGTTCTCAGCAGAGCGACGGCGGCAGGGGGCCGGGCAGCCGCCGCTTCCTTCCCCTTCCCCCGCTGGGCCGGGACCCCCTCCGTCGCGCTCCCGGCTCGCTCTCTCCGGGCTCTTGGCCGGAGCGGCCTTTTGGGACTGGAGGTGGGGAGGAGACACGCGGCCTGTGAGACCCCAACCTCCCCCGGTGGAGGAAGGTGCTGCGGCCTCCCGTTCCCATCCTATCCCGTTCAGGATCCGGGGGACAGGGACGGGGTGCCCCGGGGATCCCATTGTCCGGATCCTGGGGAGGGGGTACTGCGCTTAGGACCTGCCCCGTCCGCGCGCGACCCCCTGCTCCCGTGACCCGCGGATCCTGGGGAATGAAGGAAGGCGGAGAGGAATTGGGAGTGCCCAGATGCCATGAGCTGGGTGCGAGGAGAGGAGACAGTGCTCTGGATCCCCTTCTGTCCCGGATCGGATCCCGGAAGGAGGGGCGGCGCTCAAGACCCCCCTGCTCAGCTACCCGATCCCGCTAGGGGGGGGATGGGGGCGTAGGATGGGGAAGGGGGGTAGGGCTGACTCCCCACCCGCCGCTTCCTCTGACGCCGGCATTTTCTTTCTTATTATTGAATGTGAAGTGTAAAAATAACTTCTATATTTTCTATTTTTTTCTCTCTTATTCCAGGAAGAGCAACCGAGGTTTCAATCTGCGGTACGTCTCCTACTCTCCATTTCATTTTCATTTCCGTTCAATTCTAGTCCTTTTTGGGGTCGGAGAGAAAAATAGGTTGTTCTGTTACTTTTAATGTTGTAGTAAACTCACCTGTTAACCGCTAAGGTGAGGTGGGGCCTAGCTCTGGGGTTCTAAGTGGTGGTGGGGGGGTGGTTTGCGAATCTCATAATTCTGGATTCTCAGGTGATAAGTTTCCGTGAATGTAGGTGAGTGAGAGAAGTTGTATGCAAGGAAATGAATCCTTCCGTAGTTTTCAGATGGGGGCTCTAGCTGTCACTATGTAAGTGGGAAATGAGACGTGCATCATGCTAAAGTAAGTTGAAGTATTCAGGGAAAAGTGGTCAGATTTACTTAGGAAGAAGTAGGTTCTAAACCATGGCTGTGTGAAGTTGAAGCCACATGCAGTAATCACCTTTAACCAAAAGTCATGTGACTGCTGTAGACCTATGGAATCTCACACAGTCTGGTGTTTTTCTAATGCAGACATTGGAAATGTAGAGGAGCCAAAGGTTGAATCTGAACGTGTCACATTCAGCAGCTTATTGTGGTCTGACTGTATTTTAGTTGAAGGAGCAGTATAAAGGCAATAAAAGAATTGTTGAAGAAAAGTGGCATTGCAGAGAGAGGTTTGCTAAGAGGTGATGGTTGAGACTATACAGTGTTGTCAGTGATTTCTCAAAGTTTTGTTATAAATCTTCTCAGTAGATGATTCTGTGGATTTAAGATAGACACTAATCTCATGTCCTTGAGACAGTGCTATGGGTGTTCCATGAATAGAACAGAGGAAGGAAAAAAGAATAGATACAAAATAAATCAGAATCAGGGAGGAAGAGACATAAGTAAATCATGCTGTCTAACATTTGACAGATGGGAGCAGTAGGGAGTAGATAGAATGGAGCCCCAAAATTTAGATGCTTCCAGAGGATCCAGGCAGTGAGATCGTCAGGAATGAAGTAGAGAGCAGAGGTGAGAACTGGGGGACTAAAGAACAGAACACATGCATCTTCTGAAAAGGCAGCCACTGTAGTCCAGTGGGTTGTTATGTGAGAATCAGGCTAAGTGTTGTCTCATCTTCCTATTTTGGAAGAAAGATTAAAAATCCAGACTTTTATGTTATTTTTCTGATTTTTAAAATGATGTGTGAGACAATCAAGTTGTTTAGGGGCTTGTTAGAATTTCAAGGATGCCACTTAGAGACCTCTGGTCTAAGAATTTATCACAGAGTAAAAGCAAGCCCTCTTGTACCTGCTCAATTCTGAGGTTATCAAAGCAGTTAGGTATTGAGAAAAAGTGTACTTGTTGAGAGCTGGTATTTCCGTAAAAACCCAACAATGCAGTTGTTCCAAATAGTCAGTAAGAAAGAATTTATTTTTCCTTGGAGTATTTAAAGACAGTACTTTGAATATTTGCAGTATTGTTAGATACTTAATATCTCTACATAGATTTGGAAATTGAATTCCTTTTATTCAGCTACTATTATCCTTAATAATGTAAACATGGAATTTCATGTTTGAAATCGGGTCTGTTTTCCTCCAAGTCTCCAGTTATAAAATCTGCCCTCGGGCGTGATCAGAATTGGAGAATAGGGGTTGTTTAGGCTTCCTTTGAAGAAGAATTATTTAAATTGAAATTATATCAGCTTTCCACTGTGAGAAAAATTTTCTTTATGAAATTTTGGTGTATAGTTCCTGAGAGTTTTCTGCTTTTCAAAATATCCATGCACATGGCTGTTGATGTAAATTGTTTTATTAAATTATTAAAATGTTTCCACTCTCCTAGAGTGCTAATCTCATTGTTTTGTCTAGATATTTTAAGTTTGATGTTAAAGTACTTAGGCTTTTCCCTTTGATTTTGGAGGGTGGGCAGAGGGAGTGAGTTTGACCCTTTGTTTTTAATTTGACATACCTACTTGCTGAGAAGTTTAAATGTTACCCGTTGCAAGATAATCACACGAGCATAGAGAGAAGCAGCAGTAGACAAATTTTACAGCATATGAAGCAATTATTGTGAATACATAGGGTTAAAAGGATTTTATTTTTTTCCAGGTGTGACTATGTCTGTCTAATTCCTGACATTTAGTATAGATAAATATATTTTTTTAATTTGGGGGGAAACTGTTAAGCTTTGCCTTAGTTCAGAAAAGGATATGGACTGTGAACAACCAAATATTTAGGACTACAGAAGAACTTTTAAGAAGTTATTTTGAAAAGGTCCTGTGGGTCCTAATACAGAAAGAGAAATTCATTCACGTTTTATAATGTAACTATAATAGCTCTGGCTTTACTACATAAGAAATGTAAGATATTCATTCAGCAAGAACAGAGGCTTGAAGTAACAGAAAGTGAAACTGACTTGACGAGTATTTTTTATTGTTGCCTCAGTGCAAACGGAAAACAACTTCTTCGGTGACCAATAAGATTTGTTAAAGGAAGTAATCCCAAACAATAATTTTTATTAGTAAATTCACTGTATCTCATAATGTCACTGATATTATCTTATTTTTATTATTTTTTGGAGGAAAAAAGTTACATTTCAAAGAGTTTTCTGGGGCAGGTATATTTCATGCAGGGTAATAATGTTTTATTTCTGTTTTGGGTTTTTTTTTTTTTTGGAAGGAATGAAAGTATATGAGACACATAGGGCTAGGGTTAGTGTGTTAGAAACCCATGGTCTTTTTCAGCTTATTCTTCATGACAGCTGCACATGTTTCAGTTACAGCATACCTACCTGGGGTTGGCTAGAAACAGATTTGTACAATTCTGTTTCTGGACCTTTCTGGTATAAAATATTTTTAACCTCTCAGAGCTCTTTGTTTTTTTAGGAATTGCAATGTATTCAGAGGGGAATGAGCTTGGTTGATCACCTTTGAGATTGAAATTTACTCAGGAAATTAGTGTCTTTTACCTTGAATTAGTTGCATGGCAAAAGTGCTACATGATACATGTACTTTGTGTCGGCTTAGAGTGTTCACAGTGATGTGGATGCCAAGTTTGGTTCCTAAAAATACTTAACGGAAGGGTGATCTTATATTTAAGTTGTTTTCCAGGATGCCAGTAATAGTAACATTGTTGATCAAGGAAAATAGCTATAGAATGATGGCGTATTTATATGATATGTTTCCCAAGTTTTTTAAGGCACCAAGTGATTTTTTGAGTAGCCTGGAAAACACACATATGTATTGGATATTAAAAACGTATACCAGGTAGTTGGCCTGAAGCTGGAGAGGTGTTGGGAAGTTGCCATTTATATCTCCTATTAAGGACCTTAGTGAGTTTCTCATCCAAGCTCCCCATAATTTCATGTTGGCAGATTTCATGTTGATTAAAGTGAATTAAGTTGCTTAGACATTCAGTTTTATTTATCCTATCTACTTCCCATCAGAAATAGTAAATAGATCTTTTCTGATGAGAATTTTGAGCCTATGTATTTCCAGCATTAGTGTTTAATAAGAATACCTTATTAAGTAATCATAAGCAACACAATCTTCCTTCTAAAATATAACTTAAATTTCTTAAAGGCAGTAAATGTTTATAGATCAACTCTTAATCCCATATGTGGTAGGAGTTTTCTATATTGATGCGAGAAGACTCCCCTTATAGATGGAATTAGGTGTCAGGTAATCTGCAAGAGATGGCATTGCTCTGGAGAACCTTAGGCATCCTTGCATAATGGAACATTCATTTCCCCATGCGATTTGCCTCCCTAGAACTTGTGGGAAATAATGCTGCTGTCTGATGTAATGCCTCAAAGGAAGATGTATTCTCTATGCAGTAAGTTGGAAGGAAATAATTTTTTAAAAATTCCCTCAGTTTTGAACAGCCTTCCTTAGCTTGAATGACCTGCTGCCAGTTTAGCAACTTCTTGGCTAAGGAAATAATGTTTGCCTTCAACATTTAACAACACTTGAGATAACAAGTGCTTGTTAGTGTCAGAGATGGACAAATTGTAGGTGAAGACTCGTGTTCTGGCTGCCAGTATGGAAAGTGTGGGGGAAATAATACTGAGAGGCTGACTA